GAGAGAGAGAGAGAGAGAGAGAGAGAGAGAGAGGAGCTGTGTTCGACAGAGGCTACTTTTTTGGCACATTATTTTGAGGTACTCTGCAACCCATCTTCTTCCTTGTTACTGCCACATCAACTTTCAAGCTCGCTTTCGGCTGTTTCTTTTGGTGGATTTTGCTGATAACAGAGTGATTTGCTATGGTGGTGGAGGTGGTGGTGGTGGTGGTGGTGTTGGTGATGGCATCGACTGACATTAATTATTGGTTTCTGCGTGTGCTATTGTTTATTTCATGCATTTAATGGGTTGCGTCACTGTAACATCGTATAAGGTGGTGGGTATTCTCTACGCAGTGTGTTGGGACAAGGAACCAGACAACGTGAAGCGGGGCCTCCATGGCAGCGAGAGACGCTGCAATGTTGGCCCCTTCCATTCCTCGACGAGCCATCCTTCCTCTTTCTACGTGTACAAACGACGTCGTCGTCGTCGTCGTCGACGGAGAGAGACGATGGAGGTAGGCATATGCTGGCTCGATCCACGATGAGGTGTCCGTGCTGCAGTGGCCCGTCCACTGCGAACTCTGCCACTGGTTTTGGATTCTTTAGAGAGATTTGACACCAAGAAAGGTCTGTCTACAGGTGTCTCGATTTGGCCAATGCATCAAACAAACACGCCATTTAAACATCATTTATAATAAGATGGATGACGGAGCGGAAAGTACGATCGCCAATTAGACAACACGAGATCTCTCTCATGTGGGGTGCCAACACCGAGAACTTAAAGCTCGAGCGTTGGATCCAGGAACGGACTCCACGAGTAATACACGTAGATTTATCCCGGCTCCATGGCGTACCTTCTCCCCCCTTACCGATATACTTGTCTATTGGGTTGACCATTGACCGGCTTAGTTGGGTCACGGCGGTTCGTGCGAGTCTGGACGGTCGGGATGGGCCGATCCATCCTCGCTTTGAGCCGGGTCTCGCGGTTGCAATGGCTGGTTCGATCATGTGATAGAATTGGACCGGAATTGCCGCGCCAATTCCAGGAGGGATTACTTTAAGGAGACACTGGCTCGAAAAAAGGTCAAAATTGGCACACAGCGTTGACCCGAACCAGTTCGTTCCGGGCCGGCGCAGAAAATCTCATGAAGCGAAATCACGTGGTGCGGGGCCCATCCGACGTGGCGAGATAATGAGAACACCGCTTACACGTGCCAGGATCAACCCCTACCACGTGATGCTGCCGCTGCTCGAGTCGAACGGATGTGGCAGGTTATCATGCTTTGATTTGACGTGACATATCAGGGAAATGAAGAATCAATAGTGCACCAATAAAGAGCACAATAATTGGCTACATTAGAGTTCTAAATCTGATGAGGATTGCAGGTGAGATCGACGTAATAATTAGATAAGATATATACTTACAACAGGCTTAATACCAGCCGCCTTATCATTTAACTTGGTTAAGTAATGCCGTACATCGAGTTAGTTGCACTCGTCGTTGATATAGCTGTATTGAGACATTGGATGGTGAATGTAACTAGCTAGACCATGTCCGCTCCACCATCATCACCTGCATGCCATCCAGAATTCACCCTGTGCTTGCAGACAGGGCATGTACCTTGCTGACGCAACCATGGATCGATACAGATTGCATGAAACTGCAAGAAGGGCAACCGATTCAGCAAATGCCAGGAAATTCATGTAAACCAACAATAATCTCACTAACTAATTTGATTAAGAGTGACACTTCAAAGAATTGCAACAGAGGATTCCTTCAAACCTTCTAATTCCTAAGCAAACAGCTGTTTTGCCCTGTAACAGATTCACTTAAGCTTGGATTAGTCGGAAATAATTATACAAAGCCGAGTGGAGGAGATGGAATAAATGGTTCGTATTTCTAGAATCCAAAATGTTGCATTCAAGTGTAAACCATTGGAGATCAAGGGAAGAGTCAATGTGCTAATGGAACTCGTTTGGTTAGGGAACCGGTCGTCGCACTTGATTAAGCTTGTCGGAATATGTCATGGAGTACCAGACAGAATCCTCGCCTCGATGGAGAACAGAAACACTTCCAAGGTTCAAGATCGGCAAGATGATAGAGTGATAAATAGAAAGTTCAATAAAAAATTGGCGACATCTAGGATAAGTACTTCCTCGCTACATAGACATCTAAGTCTAGCATGGTATCGGTAGTTGTTACCTGATGCAAGCATGGTAAGCTTCTTATCAATTCTCCCACACTGACTTGCTCCAAGCAAACACTGCATGTCAGTTCATCTTCCGGAGTCTTCAAGTCCCCATCTAGTTTTGAACTCTCCTGCCTTTTCTGCTAGAGAATTGTGAGATTTTGTTAGGCAAGTAGGTGAGTAGAAGAAACCTAAAACTAGATATATCAAGAACAAGTGTATTCTAGATAAGCAGCAGAACAAGTTAGTATTATATCAACAAGTACCTCACAAGTAACAAAGTAGCTAGGAACTCTCATGTATCACCATCAATCTAGATACATCTTATTGGTTACTTAATATATTTTAAATCTAATTCATGTGATATTAGACATTCTTAACACTAGTTGAATCACAAGCACCGAAGGGCATTTGGATCAAGCAGACTCCACAGAGAAGTGCATTTTAATTAATTCACCTCTTGTAATTTCATTAACCTTATGAAATATCTAACAAATGGAGTTTCCACAGACTTGACTTTTCTACCATTAACTGCCAAAATTGTCCATAAAATTTAAAACTAAAGAGTTATTTTTGAGGTTGTATCACCTCTTTTTCTATATCTTCTCAATATTCCTTATGTAATGAATTCAAGTTCTGATGGCCCAACCTAGAGCAATCTTTTTCCTAGTAGAAACTAGAAACTTGGAATTGGGCCACTACTACATAACCAACACATGGTCTAGTGAACTATAATAACTTACCAACTCCAATCAAACATATAATGCAAAGATATCAATTTTTTTTTTGTCTGCATAATTCAAACTTCCGTTGGTATCGAATGAGCAACATAATCATACATTAAAAAAAGTATGTGATGATCTATACGAAAGAAGTTAGTAGTTGCCTAATGAAAGATACTTAGCAGTTTAATAATGTGCAAAACACAAGTAACAACAATGAATTAGAGTATGACCACTGATCCATATTTTCTACAATAAATAGTATATCAAGACAGACAGTGTGATAAGGATCTCATTCCTTTTCTAATAGAAAAATCAAAATAATACAAAATAAATTAGTGATACTATCCGGCAGTCATTTCAAGGAGTATATTAAATTAAATACACATCTTGCATGTAACCCATGTTTGTTTTCTAAAATTTTAAACTACAAGGCCAGAATGAATAAAAAAAATTAGAAACAAGCAAAAACAGTAATAACTTTTGAAAGATATAACAGTATGGTACAGCTTTCTGAATAAAAAAATTATTGACAGAATGCAAACAACTACCTCAGTTGCAGATATAGAAGAAGATGATGCCTGTTGTGGCAATGATCCACCACTACCCAAGGACAACCAAATATCAAAATGAGGATGATTTGTAAAAGCAACATAAAATTGAAAAGAAAAAGTAATGAACAACTTTGAAAAACAAAGTTGCCCATGTACACCAAAGGAACTGAATCATGCCTTTGCCGACCGGTCGCAGACCCTTGGCGAGATTGGACCTTGTACTTGTGTACAGGAAGGGCATTGATTTCTTCCTCTGTCATCGAAGGAGCATCAGGGGGATTATCAGAATCCAATGCTCTTAAAGCATCATAATCTGAAAGATTGAAAATGCATGATAAGTGTGAGCAAGCAAGCGTTTCAGGAAAAGAAAGAGGGTAAAAACAAAGTAAGGCAGATGCAGAACACGCAAAACAGTGAAAGCATAGCTTGAGCAAAGTCTTAAAACTTCATCATCATCCAAGCAGGCAATGATGTAAGGCAAACTAAATATTCCAGAAACCTGTACCTAGATCATCGAATTCTCGATCAAGAAGAGCAAGTTGGAGCCTCAAGCTCTGTAAGCGCCCTCTTGTAGCAAAGGCTACAGATGGTGGAACATGCAACCGCAACTCTGTGCCCCCAAGGAAGGTACTGGCAGCTGCAGCGTGAGCTTGGGCTTGAGCCTGGAGTTGCTGCCAAGTTGCATACATCCTTAGGCTAGTGGCCATCAGAAACACTCCCAAAACAAGCCAAAGCTACATGCATAACGTACCCACAGAGGATGTCCTCTTTAAAAAGTGATACTAATAAGAAATTAAGAAACACATATAGAGAACATGAGCCATTAACAATTACCAGAAAATTGGGTGACATCTGATGTGAATTCAATATCATGAACAGAACAAGAACTGCAATGTTAATCATGCACATGAAATTAGGAGTGAATCCGCATAACCTAAACCAGAATGGAAGAATAGAAAGCCTCATCATCCAACAACGACAGCCGTACCGGTGAGAAGAAAAGTAGTCGAATTGTTATTAACAGGTCGACCGCCCACATGCATTCGCTATAACCAACAAACAACAAAAGGTCAATACAATCGATCATCCAGCAAAACCTTAGCTTATATGCAGGACACAGTTCAAACGGATAGGTTAAGAGGAATACCATCAGCCGCCTCTCGGGTATAAATCCTGGCAAGCCGCTCTCGATGTCCGCTCTACTTGTCCGTAAAACATAGCTCATGATTGCAGACGCTAATTCTCACCCCAAAACCACCTCTTGTCCTTACGAACCCGATTGCCCTGTTCCAACTCGATCAACAACATGGAACAACATCAACTAGAATTGATATACATGATCGAATCAATCAGAGCTAAAAGGGAACCACATTCACAGCAACGAAGAGACAGGATTCTGCCGCAAAGACAAGGCATTTCGATGAAATTCCACAAAATCCCGAACGCAAATTGCGAAACACGTTGAAGGGTTACCCTCGAATCGGACAGATCTAGGATCCCCAAGTCCCTAGATCACTGCAGCAGCAGAAACCCTAGAAGCATCGAGAGGAATCGAAAACAGCAATTTCTACCCATAAACGCGAGGAAACAGTTACCTTTAGATAGCGACCGGCGACCTTCAATCCTTGCGAGAGGTGGAGCGCCACGAGGCGGGCGAGAGGCGGAGGAAGCCGCGGGCTTACATGTTGTGCTACTCCGCGGACCCACTTAAGCTATTTCACGAATCATGACACTCGTTTCTAAACGGATCGGATACGGGACATTCATGTCGGGTCCAACTCATCCAAATGGGCCCACTGACGCTGCACGGATCCACCAGTGGGTCCCACGCATATACATATAATCTCTGTCAGTTGACTTTTGTTTCGCTCTCATTAAAGTTGTAATTGATATTAATTGATAATAATAGTAATGGTAATGGCATTTTAAATATTTTATTTTTTTTTAATATTTTAACTTTAAAACTATAATTATGATTATGATTAGTAGTATATGATAGAATTTACCTAAAATTAATTTGCGTTCCTCAGCAATTGTACAGAAAGATGCACATAAAGATGGATTCATTTTCTTCACAGTTGTACAGAGTACAAACAGTAATGTTAACAGTCATGGTGGGTGAGGGGAGAGCGAGAGAGAGAGAGAGAGAGAGAGAGAGTAGTCAG